GGGGGGGGGGGGGGGGGGGGGGGGGACACAGGACAGGGTGGCATTGAAGGGGACAGGGTGGCACCATGGGGACACAGCACATGGTGACATTATAGGGACACAGGGCAGGGTGACATCCCGGGGGGGACACAGAGCAGGGTGGCACCATGGGGACACAGGACGGGGTGACATTATAGGGACACAGAGCAGGGTGGCACCATGGGGACACAGGACACGGTGACATCCCGGGGGGGACACGGGCACAGCGCGGCCCCAGCGCTCGCAGCCCCCCCGCTCCTCCCCTCCGCCTCTTTTGTTCCCCGCTCCGCTTTTCCTTCATGCCAGATTAATTCCCGGGCGCTGCTGGAAGCAGTCGGGGAGAAATTCCTCCCGCATCCTCCTTTCGGGGCTAATTGCTGGCGCCGTGACGTCAGCGATGGATTTATCCCTGGGATGGCTGGGAGAGGCTCCCAGGAGGGCCCGAGCTCTCATCCCCGAGCTCTCACCCCGCTCCTCTCCCTTTTCCAGCCGGGATTGATCCCTTTCCCCCCATTCCCAACCCCGCGCGCTCCTAATCTGACAGCGGCCGGGAATTAATCGGGCTGGCCGCAATAGGATTAAAGGAGGGGAAGTGCGTCACGAGGTGCGGACAGGGGTTCTGCTTTTGGGGAGGGTGGAAAAAGGGGTGGGGGGGGGGAAAAAAAAATTAAAAAAATCTGGGAAATAGGTTGGAGTGTTCCCGGGGGGTGTGTCGGGAGCGAGCGCGCATGTGAGGAGTGCGGGGCGGGAGGCACCGAGCCCGCCTCGTCCTCCCTTTCTCCGAGCATCCTCCGCGATGCCATCCTGGAGGTGATACAGGCGCAGCAGCATCCATGGCCTGCCCCTAACCGCGGCATTCCCGGCTCTTCCTCCTCCTCCTCCTCCTCCTCCCCGCCGCCCGGGAAGCGCCGAGGCCGAGCTGAGAGGGAACCGCGTTCTCCTGTGGTTTTTTTTTTCCAGGCTCCTCGGGAATTGAGGAATGCAATTCTGCCACCATGATGGAAGGTGAGTGATGAGCCGGGCGCGTTCTCCCGGCTTTGGGAAGGAGGAGGAGCCGATCCCGCGCCCGGGGTGGTCGGGGAGGGGGGGGTTTGATCCTTTCCTAAATAAAATAATAATAATAATTAATAATGGAATGGAATCCTCCCCTCCTCCTAATCTCGGGCAATTCCAGCGGCAGGGTGGTGGTGATATAATATCGAGCCCGTGCGATTATTTGCAATTCCATCCCCAGCCCTGTGCAGGCGGCTCGGGCTGGGCAAATTCCCGGTTTTCCATGGAGCCGCCGCTTCCCCCAGCCCAGAGCCGGCTGGATCCGTCGGGATTCAGATCCCGAAATGATTATTTGATGCCGCACAGAGGATGGAGCTGGGGGTGTGCAGCTGACAGATGGGATCCGGCGCTTTTCCCTGGATGGATGAGCCGCGTTTCGGGGGGAAAAGAGGAAAAATTGGAACTGGAGATGATTTTTTTTGGTTTTAATTTTTTTTTTTTTTCTTGCCGTGTCGTGGAGATGCCGGTCTGGGGAGGGAGGAGGAGATGTTGGATTGGGGTTTCTTGGCATAAAAAATGGGAATGAGGAGGGAATACGGGCTCCAGGCACAGGATGCTTCAGGGAGCCGTGTCTGATCCTGTGTGGGAAAAGCCTCTGGGCATGACAGGAATTTTATCCTCTGTCGTCTGTCTCGGCCGTATGTAAAGCTCTCCTTTATTATTTATCATTTTAATTCCTCCTGGAGCAGGATGCAGGGAAAGGTTGTCTTGGATTTAATTCTATTTTAGTAGAATGGCTGCTCCAGGCCTCACAAGAGCAAAATATATTGAATTTTGGGGGATTTCTGGCCCCTTGGTGGCAGCAGCAGGGCCTGGCTCGGTGGAGCCACTTCCAACCCAGGGAGCTTTCCCGGGATGACAGGCAGAAATTGGGCTGCTTCCCGGAGTATCCCTGAAATCTGGGGCTGCCCCCTGCCCAAATTCACCTGGAGAGGCCCCGGGATCCATGGAAATTTTATGGATTTAAGATATTTCCCCGATCCCAAGAATCCAGGCGTCGTCACGGCCGCGTGTGGCACATGGAATGGCCTTTCCCAGGACGGGGTTTGGACGATTGGGTGTGAAGGAAATGAGTTTTGTCATCCTTTGGATCCCAGGGAAAGCTTTCCCTGCTTTCCCTGGTGCTGACGAGAGTCACAAGCAAACGAGGTTTTAATTTTAGCCCATGACATCAAACCCATCCCACCACAGGGGCAGGTCACGGCAGGGAAAACGCCAATAAAAACCCGGCTTCTCCCCAAATCCCAACTTTTAGGGAGGAATTCATCTGGATAAATGGAAGTTGTCGTGTTGTAGGCCTTGGTTTGAGTGATTTTATTCAGTTTTGAGGCTGCTCAGGGGAAGTAAATTGGGGGTTTGAGGCTCTTTTGGGATTTGGGGTTTTGGGGTTTGGGGTTTTTTTTGGGGGTTGTTTTCATTCCTTGAGGATTTGGGCCTGGCAGGAGCTTTGGTCACTGCCCAGCCCCACGCTGGAGATGGATCCGGGGCTGTGGCCCATGGAATGGGACGTGGAATCACCTTCCATGACCCAGCCATGCATGGAAAAAAAAAAAATTGGGGAAAAAATTGAAATACTCTTGATAAAAAGGGAATTATTAAACAGCTTGAAACGTTCCCCCAGTGGTTGATGCAAGCCTAGAACAGAAGTTGGGAAATCTGGAATAATTCCTGGGGTTTTTGCAGGTTTTTTTGAGTTTTGAAGTAGTTGGAAATTGGTTGGATTTGTGGGAAGTGGAACTTCAAGATCCTGCTGCAAGTCTGGCCCCTCTCAGGGGTGATTTATTTAATATTATTTATTTCTGTTTAATATTATTTATATTTAATATTATTGATTTATATTTAATATAATTTGTTAGCATTTTATTTGTATTTAATATTATTTACATTTATTATCATTTATTTCTATTTAATATTTATTTATATTTAATATAATTTATTTCCATTTAATATTTGTTTCTATTTAATATTTTCTGTTTATATTTCATATCATTTATTTCTATGTAATATCAGTTTTCCTATTTAATATTTATTTCTATTTAATATAATTTATTTCTATTTAATATAATTTATTTCTATTTAATATAATTTATTCCTATTTAATATTTATTTCTATTTAATATAATTTGTTTCTATTTAATATTTATTTCTATTTAATATAATTTGTTTCTATTTAATATAATTTATTTCTATTTAATATAATTTATTTCTATTTAATATTATTCAATATTTCTATTTCTTTATTATTATTTCTTTATATTTAATATTATTGATTAAATCAATTTATTTAACGATATTTATTTAATATTAATTAGAATTAATTCAATGGTTTCAACAAACTTGGCTTAATTGGAGCTGAAACTTTCAAACCTGCACAAAACACCGCAAGTTCCTTGTGGTGAGGGGTCTTAAAGGGGTTTAATTAGGGCTGTAATTAATTATTCCAATCACTTTTGGTGCTGGACAGGGAGCTGGAAGTGGCGGGTGGGGCGCAGGACCCCCGGGATGCTCCTGATTCCTTTGGATTCCTTTTCCTTGGGAAAAAAGCGAATTCTCCTCGTGGGGAAGAGCGCGGGATGAGCGATTTTTGCTGGATAGGGATGTTGTGCTCGACAGATGGAATGTTTTGTCATTCCTCTGGGAACGGAAAAGTGTTTCTTGTTCATGGATATCCAAAAAATGCCCAAAAAACCCCCCGAGTTTGGGAGATATTCCCGGAGCCCAGCCAAAGGTGTCTCCAGCAGTGGGAATTCCTCCCCCTCCACGGAGGGCTGGGATGATGGGATGCAGGAACATCCCATGGATTTGCTGCTCTTGGCTTCACTCAGCCAGGTGGGAAGCAGGGCTGGGATGGGGATTCAACCCCCCCGAGGTGCCTCAGGTGTGCAATGACGGCTTTGGATGTTCCCTCGGGATTGTGAAACGCTCGGAAGCGCCCCGGGCGGGCGGTGGAGGTGAACAGCCGGGCACGGAACGGGTTGGACTCCTTTTGGAATCCTCTGCCGCGTCTCCAGGGCCTTGGGAGGCTTCCATGAAGTTTGGGAATCGCTGATCAGGGAGGAGCTCTGGGATATCGGGAAGAGAGGAGCGCACGCGGTTCCTCCGGAGAAAGTCACTCCCGCTTTTCCTGCTCCCCGTGCTTCTCCAGACCCCAAAATAGGGGAGAAGCCTTCCCAGAGCGAGAATTTCTCGGAATCTCTTCCAACTGGGAAGTTTGGTCACTCAGGGAATTTCCATGGGAATGTTCTGTCCAGCTGGGAATAGTGGAAGGTGTCCAAGCCCACGGCAGGGCTGAGATGAGATGGAATTTAAGGTCCCTCCCAACCCAAACCGGTCTGGGATTCTGCAATCACATCCAGACCGGGAGAATTTTCCCGGAATCTTCTTTTAGCCGTGGCCGTCTCCGTTTTCGGAATGCCGGAGACATCGATGGAACATCCCAAAATCCCTCTGTGCTGATTGAAAACTGACTTGATTTGATTTTTGGGTGGTCTCGTCCCGGTAGATTTTGGTTGAACGCACTCGGTGCAGGACTCGGCAAGGAAATAATCCAGGAAAATTTGGGGGTTTGGATTGGAGGAGGGAAATTTGGGGGTTTCGATTTGGAATTTTCTGCAGAACTGGGAAGGAAACAACTTTCTTGGGATGTAGGAGATGATTTTTTCCCCTCTTTTTCCATGGCCAGCCCAGGGAATGCTGAGCTTGATCCATGGATTTGGCTCCTCCCGTGTCCCTGGCTGGGCTGAGGGTTGGGGACATCCCACCACTCTCCAGGCCAAAAATGTCCTTTAGGACTTTTGGGATGTTTTTGGGGGCTGATCCAGGTGGGTTTGAGCTCTCAAGGAGGAATTTTGTGGAAATGAAGCCTTGGAAGTGAAAAGTTTGGAAGAGAAAAAGCTCTGGAGCTCTCAGGTTTGGGGTTCAAAAATGAAAAGGCAAAACCTCAGAAATGTGGCAAAACCTAAAACAAAATTATGGCAAAACTTGGGAGGGGAAAAAAAAAGTGGCAAAATCCTGGAAAAAGATGGCAAAACCTTAAAAAAAAAATGGCAAAACTTCTCCTTGGGATGAGCCCAGTTTAAAATGTGCCCTTGGGAATCTGGAAGCGGCTCCCAAAGGCGGGAATTTGGGATTTTCCTGCCAAGGCAGGAATTTCCTGTGTGATTCACCAGCCTCAGTCGGGTTTTAGGGATTGTAGGAAAAAAATTCCAGGTGAAGTCGGGTGCTGCTCACCTTGAGCCTCCCCCGGTGCGGGGTTTTATCCATTAAAAACGTGGATTTGGGTGGGAATCCGGCTGGAAATGTTGGTGTTGAGCCCCCAGAGGTGTTGGAGGTGTGAAATGGGATTGACCCGGAGTTTTTGATGGGAATCCTGATCCAATGCTGGGATTGGAGGAACATGAAGGAAAATGGGATTTATCCAGGGTTTGTGACAGGAATCCAAACCAAATTTTGGGATTGGAGAGGAGGAAAGTGAAGGAAAATGGGATTTATCCAGAATTTGTGGCAGGAATCTCAATCTAATGTTGGGATTGGAGGAACATGAAGGAAAACGGGATTTATCCAGAGTTTATTGCAGGAATCCCCACTCAGTTTTGGGATTGGAGAGGAGGAGCATGAAGGAAAATGGGATTTTTCCAGAGCTTGTGGCAGGAACCTCAAATTTTGGGATTGGAGGAACATGAAGGAAAACGGGATTTATCCAGAGTTTGTGACGGGAATCCAACCCCAATTTTGGGATTGCAGGAACATGAAGGAAAATGGGATTTATCTGGTTTGGCAGGAATCCCGATCCAATATTGGGACTGGAAAGGAGAAACACGAAGGGAAACGGGATTTATCCAGAGCTTGTGGCAGGAATCCCATTTTTTGGGATTGGAGGAACATGAAGGCAAATGGATTTATCCAGAGTTTGTGGTGGGAATCCCGATCCAATTTTGGGATTGCAGGAACAT